GGAGGGGGGCGGCGAGAAGGGAAACCCCCCCCAGACCCTCCCCCACTGTCGGCAGGGCGGCGGGGGGAGGGGAAGGGCTCTGTGGGGTACGGAAGCCTGGAAGGAGAAGGGAGAATGGTCAGTAACCCCCCCCAAAAAATGGGGAAAACCCCCCCCAAAATCGAGTTTCTTCCCTCCCCTCACTTATCCAGACCCAGCCGCCAAATCTGGGATATCTACCCCCAAAATTCCATTTCCCCTCCAACATTTTCACCCTAAATTTGAACTACTCCCCTCAAAACCAAGATCCCAAATACTCGGGATTACCCACCAAATTCTGTGACCCCCCCCCCCCAAAATCTGTTGCCCCTATCAAATCCAGTTCCTCTCCATCCAAATTCGGTTGCCCCACCCCAAATGCCAGTGGCCCCCCTCACTCACCTGCCCCCATAGGGGGAGGGGGCTCCATCTGCAAAGGGCCCGAAGGGGGGTCCGGGTGGGGGAAGAGGGGCAAAGGGGCCGAACCCCCCCGCCCCTCCCCCATCCTGGGGGGTCCCGTTGCCGGGGGGGGGAGGGGCGAAGGCGCCATCGGACGAGGAGCGGCGCCGGAGGGGCTCAGCCGGGGGGGGCGGCTGGGGGCAAATGAGAAATCAGGGGGGTTGGGAACATCCCAAAATCCCCCAAAACCTCCACCAAAGCTCCTCCAAAGTGCCACGGCACTGCCCAGAACCTCCCCGACCTGACCCAAACACCCTCCGAAACCCTCCCAAGATCCCACAAGACCCCCTGAGGACCCTCCAGACCTCTCCCAAAACRCCCACAACCCCTTCCAGGACCCTGCAAGGCCCCCCACAGTCCCCAAATCCCCCCACCCCCCCTTACCGTGTCCCCCCGGTCCCCCGAGGCTTTGCCTCCTCCCGTGGGGACTGTCTGCGGCGTGTAGGAGCCGTTCACAATCAGCTCATACAGCTTCATCCTCTGCTGCCCTAAAAAAACCCCAAACACCCGAGTTCGAACCCAAGAACGGGGGTTTGGGTGCGTTCTGCCCCAAAAATCAGCATCTCAGGGGGTTCAACGCCAACGGCGACTCTGAATTCGGCGGCAAATCCTAAACCCAGCTCTAGATCCCAAATGGTGACCCTGGGCCCAAATCACCCCAAGGTCACCCAAGACGAATCCCAAACCCCCCAAAACGTTATAGCTTTCTCCAAATCCTCACCACATCACCCTAAACCAAACTACACTCACCCAAAAACATTCAGAGCACCCCAAACCCCCATTATACACCCTGCAATTCCCCCCAAAGCTGCTTTAAATCTCCTAAATCCCCTACAAACCCCCCCAAGCTCGAAGAATCCCCTACAAATCCCCCGCAAAGTCCTGTAAACGTCACATAACGTCACCCCTGACGTCGAGCTGGGCGTGGATGGCGGTGCCCATGACGGTGGCGTTGTGCAGGTGCCTGACGGTGTCCCTGGCGCCGCGGGACGTCCCGAAGGTGACGCGGGCCAGCCCCAGGTGTTTGCGGGTTTTGGGGTGCAGCAGCACCTCCACCTCCTCCACCTCGCCGAACTTGCGGCACATTTCCCGCAGGAAACCCTCGCGGATGTTGTCGTTGAGGCGAGCGAACGTCACCTCCTTCAGGGGGATCTGCCCCACGTAGAACTCGTCCAGCTGGCCCCAAAACAAATGCCAAATTCGGTTACTGGAGTGCTGCTGAAAGCCCGAGTTTATCTCCACATCTACTTCTGAAATGCTAAACTTCTCCCTSAAATTCTTTCTGGCAAACCCACTCCACCTAAAACTCATCCAGCCAATCCCAAAAGAAGCCCAAATAAATCAGGGGCATCTCACTGAGATCTTACTGAAATCTCACTGAAGTCCCAAATCCAACCCCACATGCTAAATCCGCTCTCGAATTCCAAATCCAGTCCTAGCAACATTTCACTCCCATAAAAATCATCCAGCTGCGACCCCAAAAAAACCCCAAACCAATCACTAATATCCCACCGAAGTCCTAAATCGGGGCCTGGATCTGTTTCTGAAATTCCAAATCCGCCCCTGAAATACCAAACCTACTACTGAATCTATTCCTGAAATCCCAAAGCCATCCCTGGACCTCCAAAATCTACTCCCAAATTCCCCGATCTGCCCCCAAACCCCCCAAGTGCCACCCTAAAGCCCCTCACCTTGAACTTGGGGACGGGCAGGGACAGGTCCCGGTGCTTGGCCCAGATCCTTCGGGGACGCGGGTCCTGCACGGGCCCGGCTGGGGGGAATCCCGAGTCCTGCACCCCAAACACAGAATTAGAGACCCCAAAAGCTGAATAAACCTCCCCAAAATCCAAAATGGAATGAAGGCAAGTGAGAATCCAAAAAAAAACCCAAGAAAACTTCTTAAAATCTGTCAAAACCACACCAAATTAGAGGGGAGGATGGCAGAGGGAGTGGGAAACCCTACAAGATACCCAAATCCTGCAAATTACTGATCAAAAGACCCCAAACGCCTCAAGCTGTCTCTGCGGCATTTTAAGGACTATTTGTTTCGGTTCTGGAATTTTTTTCAACGGTGTTTTTGTTGTGATTTCGGTGGTTTTTGGGGTGCATTTGGGGGGATCTCTAGTGATGCTTGGGACTAGCTTGGAGACTGCTGTTGAAGTCATTTTAGGGGTGGTTTTGGGCTCTATTTCGGGGGGATCTCGGAATGTTTTTGGGATTTTTGGGGTGATGGCGTGGTCTTTGGGGTCTTTTGGGGGGATCTCTGGCAATGTTTTTGGGGTGTTATAGGGTGGTTTAGAGAGTGGCTTAAGGAGGGTTTTGTGGGTGATTTTGTACTGTTTTTGGRGCTGATTTACAGCTGCTTTTGAAAACATTTCAGGGTGTTTTTAAAGCACTTCTGGGGTCATTTTGGAAGCGTCTTTGCGAGCCTTTCTGAAGCAGTTTCAGGTGAGGCAGTTGTGGGTGGCTTTGGGGTGACTTTGGTCAGGGACACTCATGGAGACGCYGAAGTGGCTGCCATCGTATCGAGGCGGTTTTGGGGGTGTTTTGGGGCGGTTTTGGGGTCACTCACGGGGACACTGAAGTGGACGCCATCGTATCTGTAGAGCTTCTGCCCGCCCCGGCGCAGGGCAGGGTCCAGCACCAGTTTGTAGCTGCGCCAGGGGACACTGGGGGTCCTGGGGGCGTCACCCCCCGGCTCGGGCTCCATCCCCCCGACTCATTGACCCTGTGGGGGGAGGGGACACGGGCTTACCCCCACAACCCCCCCCAAGGCAACCCCCAAATCCTCCACAAATCTCTCCTCAAAGCAGCCCCGCGAAGGCTTCCCCAAAACCCCCAAATCCCCCCAAGTTCCTCCTCAAAGAACCCCTAAATGCTCCTCCAGATTCCCTCCTCAAAGCCCCCCCGAATTCCCCCTCAAAGCCCCCCAAGATCCACTTCACACCCTCCCGCGAAACGCCCCCCGATCCCCCTCAAATTCCCCCCAATTCCCTCTCAAAGCCGCCCC